ATTAATTAAAGAGAATTGATAATGAGAGAGCTAAAGTAAAAAAAAATTATTTACTTTTAAAAATTTAAAAATAACAATGAATTTGAGATAAATTTAAAGTTAAAAAAATAATTATTTTAAGATGAAGAAAGCATTAATTAATAATTACTCCTTCCATTCCAAAATGATATCAAAATAATTTCTATTTTTATTTATTTTACCCTTCAAAAAATAAAAATAAAGAGTTTTTTTTTTATAACCTAGATATTTAAAATTAAGAAATAATCATGAAATTAAGGAAAGTAAAAATTTTTTACCTTCCTTAAAATATGAAAAAATAACTATTATTTTAAGATAAACTAAAAAGGTCTACTAATCTATTAATTTAGAACGAAATGAATAATAAAATAATCAATATTTACCAATTGCTAAATTAAAATTAATTAATAAATTAATATTTTTAGAGGCATTTGTTTTAAAATTTGAAGAGTAACTATTAGTTGTTAGTCATAATTGAATGATTTATATATTTTAAATTATAAATAGTAAAATTTATTAATTATTAGATATTAATTATTAGTTATCAATTATAATAAAATAGTTAATCTAAAAGCCCATTTAAACACTATTTATGAAAAAAATTAAAATTGTAGTAATTTTAATATTTTTTTATGGTGACAATCCATTTCTTTAATGTGATTAACGTAACCTTAGGTAATATAATTCTTTTTTCTCAAAATTTTCTTTTATTTTATTATACAACTTCATAAGAAATGAATGATAATTTTAAGGGTGGAGGAAAATAAAGATATTTTGATAGTTAAGATTTTTTGTATTTTAAAAAGATTGTTTAATTTGTGTCTTTTAATTAAGGTATTTTTAATTAATTTTATATAAATTTTTATATTAAATTTATAATTTTTTTATAAATTTTGAGCATAAATATTATATTATATTTTTACATTTTATATAATATTTTATTTGAATCTTATGGAAAAATTTGTGTAAAATTAATTGTAAATATGGCAATTAATAAAATTTAGCATGCACTCTAATAACTCGTTTGGAATACAAGATTGAATTAGATTAGATAAAATTTAAAGGAAATGATTGGACTAGATTAGATAAAATATGATATATAAAATCTCATGAAATATTTGGTTGACCATTAGATTAAAGTAGGATTAGGCCAAAAAATTTATTTATATGGATGAAAATGCCCTTACATTATAATTAAATCTAATAAAATTTTGTTGTATTTATTAACCATTAATCATAATAACATTTAATAGTAAAATTGATTGAGATAATTATAAGATAAAAAAATAATTATCATCAATCATTTTTATCAAAAACAATTATAATTATTATTAATTAATTAC